ATTATTATTATTATTAGTAAAATAAACGATAAAGACAGCAAATGATTTTTACGACGTTTCGAGGTCATACTGTCCTCATTGTCAAGTACTTTTAATGGACAATAATTGTGGGCTAAAGTTTAGATACAGAAAAATTAGCATAAATTGAAATTACTTGTATACCATTAGATGAAACTATCAAGATTCTAGCTAACAAAGCTTTCGAAAACAACTGGTTCAACTCAACATACGACCTCAACATCAGCAAAGAAAACTTGATTGAGCTCTTGACCATCTCGACTAAAGACCAACTTTTCCAATATGATGGTCAACTCTATGAACAGGTCGATGGAGTAGCGATGGGATCTCCCCTCGGACCCCTCCTTGCTAATGTTTTTATGTGTCACATCGAAGATATTCTACAACGTAAGGGAAAGCTACCATCGTACTACAAACGTTATGTCGACGACACCTTGACCATCATGCCCGACCTGGATATAGCTAATGAGTTTCTACACGAACTTAATCAAGTACACCCTTCATTGAAGTTCACTATGGAAGTAGAGAGTAATGGTATGCTGCCTTTTCTCGGCATTCAACTACTTAACAAAGCGCCTAACATCGAAACGAAAGTTTACGTCAAACCAACTAACACCGGCCTTTTACTTCATTATCAAAGTCATGTTGATGAACGTTATAAACGCAACTTGGTTACCACCATGCTTGAAAGGGGCTATCGTATTTCATCATCGTGGAAAGACTTCATAGAGGAATGTGTTCGTCTCGAAAAACTCTTTCTAAATTTGGAGTATCCAAAACAACTCATTACATCTATCACACGCCGCTTTATTGATTCTAAGAACACAAGACAAAGCGTACACACACCTGATGACAAAGACATAGTTAGAATTGTTCTACCGTTTAAAGTCAAAAAACAAGTCGCTGATATATCCCATAAAACCAGAATCTCCATTCAACCTGTCTTTGTAACCAAAAACATTGGGGTGAGTCTTCAACCAAAAGAGCCAAAGCCACAGCTTATCAACAACCAACGTGTAGTTTACCAGTTTGAATGTGACTTGTGCGATGCAAGTTATGTTGGTTATACCAAGCGCCATTTGCATGAGCGAATTGAGGAACATAGCAAAAGCAGCCAATCGTCTATCTATAAACATTATAAAAACAACCATAACACTACCCCTAGGGATCTATTGTCACACGTTTGTGTAGTTAAAAAATGTAAAACCAAATTCGATTGCTTGGTTTACGAGATGCTTATAATGCAATCAAAACAACCTACATTGAATGTACAATCGGATTCCCTTAAGGCCAAGCTCTTTTTGTAATTTCAATTTATGCTAATTTTTCTGTATCTAAACTTTAGCCCACAATTTTTGTCCATTAAAAGTACTTGACAATGAGGACAGTATGACCTCGAAACGTCGTAAAAATCA